GGGGAGATTGTTGGGTGTGCGAACAACGTTCCACATTGGTAGCTGAAAAGATTGGGAGTCTACATATAAGGTGTATGGATCTCTTAATGGTGTGAGGCCTTTTGGGGAAAACCGTGCGGGCTTAGTTCAAAGCGGATTATATCACACTATATTAGGAGTGTATTTGGGCTAGTTTAGCCCAACAACATTGTTGCAGAATATCGTGAGTTAACTAGCACACAATCATACACAAAGCAAATAGAGAAGAAAAATCAACACAAGGATTTAACGAGGTTCGGCTAAGCCTAATCCTCGGGGCAAAAGCAGAGAGAGTTTTCCACTATGAATGAGATGAAAAGCACAATACAATCTCTAGGATCCCCAACTACAACCCCTATATATAGATCCCAAAAGGTCCCAAACATATATGAGAAAGGTTTCCCAATTTGACAAGGACTATAGGTTTTTCTTTCCCAAATCTATTAGGACAATGGATTTTCCTAAACCTATAGGGACTATAGGTTTTCTAAAAATACAAGGAAATAATTCAAGCCACAAATAACAAATCTTCCCCTTGGCTTGAATTCTCTTCATGAAGAGAAACAACGTCTCTCTACCTTGCCCTCATCCCTCGCAAGGGCTCTATCCATTGCCGCACACATCAACCAAGTCTAGGAAATTCCTAAACTTGTTAAGAAACTCGATCTCTTTAGCCATAGCACTAATCCGTCAATCTGGTTCTGTACTCGGAATAGCTTCTGGATAGCTATAACACTCAAAGGCATCAACGGTCTCTGCAACTGCCAAAGCAAATCCCATAGGATTCGTATATCCAAGAAGATTCCCATCAACTACCTTTGCAAACCTTTGCAGTCGGTTGATCACTCTCTTCTCTCTGCCTGTTGCAATGCTATAGGGTTGTTGCGCAGGTGCATCAACATTATCATCTTGATCAATATTTTGCACCTCCTCCACTTCCTCTACTTTAGAACTACTGGCCTGAGCTAGTGGAGATTTAATTTCTAGCCCTAGGCGGTCACTGACACCACGATCTGTTTCTGGTATTGCCTTCTCCCTCTGACTGTCCAGTGAGGCAGATTTATTGAATGTTACATCCCTACTGATAATTAGCCCTGGAGTCTTTTGATCTGTGCACCACAACTTATAACCTTTCACTCCAGTTGCATACCCTAGAAATATGCACTTCTTTGCCCTCAACTCAAGTTTTCCATCCCTCACATGAGCATAAGCAGGACAACCAAATATCCTTAAATTTGAATAATCAGTAGGCGAACCAGACCATACCTCAAAAGGAGTTTTGAACTCAATAGCCGTGGATAGAGATCTGTTGACCAAATAACAAGCTGTATCGATTGCTTTAGCCCAAAAATCTTTGCTAACACACGAGTGTGAAAACATATTTCGTGCCCTATCAAAAAGCGTTCTATTCATATGTTCTGCAACACCATTTTGTTGTGGTGTTCCAACACAAGTGCGGTGTCTCACTATGCCCTCCCTGCTGCAGAAATTATCGAACTCAGAATTACAAAATTCCAACCCATTGTCAGTTCGAAGACGCTTAACTTTTCTTTCTGTCTGCGTCTCAACTATCGTCTTCCATTTAACAAATGTCGAAAATGCCTCATCTTTTGTTTTTAGAAAATACACCCACACCATCCTTGAGTGATCATCAATCAAAGTCATAAAATACCTAGCACCACTCTTGGAGGGAACTCTGTTTGGACCCCACAAGTCAGAGTGCATATAATCTAACTTGCCTCTGGTCTTGTGCTCGGCCTTATTGACGAACTTTACACTTGTCTGTTTACCAAACACACAATGCTCACAAAAATTCAAAACTTGATTTTTGTACCCATTCAACAAATTCTGCTTACTCAACCAAGACAATCCATTATCACTCATATGGCCAAGTCGCAAGTGCCACAACTGAGACTAATTCAGATCACTTTCCCAGAATCTACAGCAGCTTCCCCTTCAACTACACTGGCCTGAAGATGATACAATTTAAAATGTATTTTACTCTTCATGAGTACCATGGAGCCTTTACACACTTTAAGTATTCCCTTCTCGGAGTGAAATTTATACCCTTGATCATCCAAAGTCGAAAGAGAAATCAAATTTATCTTTATCCGGGGAACATGCCAACACTCAATGTTTCTGATAATTCCGTCGAACATTCTCAATTTGATGTTACCAACCCCCTCTACTGGTAATGGATTATCATCTCCCATATAGACAGTCCCATTTATTTGCTTGTAAGTTGCAAACCAATTCTTGTGTGGGCACATGTAAAAAGTAGCACTAGAATCAAAAACCCAAGAATTCTGCCCATGACTAGAACTCACAGCACAGACTTCCTCTACATAGTTACTACCATCAGAATTATTGCAGTGTCAACAATATTTGCCGAATTATCTATTTTCTGCTTCCCTCTTTTCTCCTTCAGCTTAGGACAATCTCTCTTGTAGTGACGTTGCTCCCCGCACTCATAACAGTGTTGCTTCCTTGCTCTAGACTTTGATCTGGCGGTTGACTTTTTCCTGTTAAAGTCCTTTTGTTGTGTTCTTCCTCTAATAACAAGACCCTCGCCCTCAATTCTGCTGTCTGGAAAGCTCTTTTTCAATTTTTTAGATTTTAGTGGATTACTAACATCTTCTACTGAAATGCTATCTTTCCCATATAGCAGCGTATCGACAAAAATATCATAAGACGGTGGTAAAGAACATAACACAATTAAGGCCCGATCCTCACTCTGAATTTTGATATCCATATGCTTCAGGTCCATTATAATTGAATTAAACTCATCAATGTGAGTTTTAATAGGTGTACCTTCATTCATACGGAGATTGTATAACCTCTTTTTTCAGGTAGAGACGATTTTATTAGCGATTTCTTAGAATACAGATCTTCCAGCTTCTTCCATGCCGTTGCTGCATAAGTTTCTTCAGCAATTTTCCGAAGTACGCTATCTGTAACGCTCATGAAGATCGCACTCAAAGCCCTCTCCTTCAGGTCTGCCTTCTCTGTCTCCTTCATCTCTTCAGGAAAATCCTCATCAATTGTCTTCCATAACCCTTGTAACACCAGCGACGATTTCATCCTAATCTTCCATAGACTGAAAATAGAACCCCCGTCAAATTTCTCTATTCCGTACTTTGTTGAAGATGATGAAGACATCTTAACCCTAGATTATATGTAGAAACCCGAACCTTGCTCTGATACCAATTGTTACGGAATATTGTGGGTTAACTAGCACACAATCACACACAAAGCAAATAGAGAAGAAAAATCAACACAAGGATTTAACGAGGTTCCGCTAAGCCTAATCCTCGGGACAAAAGCAGAGAGAGTTTTCCACTATGAATGAAAAGAAAAGCACAATACAATCTCTAGGATCCCCAACTACAACCCCTATATATAGATCCCAAAAGGTCCCAAACATATATGAGAAAGGTTTCCCAATTTGACAAGGACTATAGGTTTTCCTTTCCCAAATCTATTAGGACAATGGGTTTTTCTAAACCTATAGGGACTATGGGTTTCCTAAAAATACAAGGAAATAATTCAAGCCACAAATAACATATATTATTTATACTTGTAAAACATGCTAAATATTTTATGTTATATGAGTTTCTTTAATTCTTTTTAGTGTTTTTGAACTTTTAATGCATCTTTTATATTTTATTATGTTATAATGCTATATTATTAATTCATAAATTTAAAATTAAAGATCCATGGGGCTTACGCCCCATGTCTCGAGGCTTTTGCCTCGTCCCATATTAAGTAAAATGCCTTGCCTCACGCCCTCGCCTTTTAAAATACCGATGTGGTGATTTGTTATTCAAATTTCAATTATTCTTGCTCCCTCTGATAGAGAAAGATTTATTTAATTCTAAAAAGAGTTTCACTCTGTTAAATGATTGCTTAGAACAATACATTGCACGACTCTAACCCTATTTATATTTGTTCATAAATAAAAGTACTACTTAACATATTTTACTTCAGCCATGTGATAGAACTAAAAAGGGAAAGGACATGTGACTCATGTCCAGCCCCAAATGATTAAGTTTGTATTTTAGTGTTGGTCAGCAACTAAAAGTCAACTACGGAAATCAGCTTGTAAAAGACAGATTGGTAGGCAGAAGAAGCTTAAAACAAAATAATACGAAGTGCTAGGAAGTTTCGATTGGTCAAAACTCTACCAACCCCTCATAAACAGAGAAAGAAGAGAGCAATTATTTATACACCAACTATGCTTCACCTTTTTTGGCGAGTGAGGCAAAAAAAGAGCAATTTTCTTCTTACTTCTTTTGTTAGCTGAAAATAAATATTTTTACTAATATTTGTACAGGAAAAGAATTTACATAAATCCAGTGTTTACAATAGGTCAGTGAATAATTAACGTATGCTTTGACATACATTTTTACTACTAAATTATAAGTAATTAATACACATTCACACCTCAGTTTATTTCTTAACCATGAAAAAATAATATATTTGGCGCAAATATTGATGTAAGTAAATTTTTACTTGCTATGGATTGAATGACTATATGCAATTGTGACTCGACCTTTTAGTTCAAAAAAAAAAAAGGAATATGAAGGATTATTTTAAAGAGTCGTATAATAAAATTGCATGTTACATGCTTGCGATAGGTTGAACTATCTACGTCACATCCTTTTGGGTACAGTTTTTCCTCGGACCCTGCATGAACGCGAAATACCTTGTGCACCGAATTGCCCTTTTTTACTACTCCAACTCCTCCTAAAGTGAGCCATTTCAGATATAACTTCCGAAACATTATGATTAGAATGCTTGCAAATTTGATTAAGAAAATAAGATCAGAATTTTTCAAATATATGAAGTTTCGGCACACACCAAAGTTCTGTTTTTCTTCATTATAATTATTTTTCGGGTTACTAACTTTACTGGTTATACGTGTAAATACTTTTTAAATGATCTGACATTATAAAAACACTTCTACATTTGGTGCATAAACGTTAAACTCACAAAGGAAAGCAAATCTTATTATTCCCCAAAGTCAAACTGATCATTATTGACCATACACCATTCTTGAAAAGCAAATACAATACATCAACAACAACAATAATATAGCTAGTGTATTCCCGCAAATGCAATTTGGAAAAGGTAACGAGTACGCAGCCTTATTCCTACCTTGTACAGGCAAAGACACTATTTCTGATGGAACCTCGGCTCAACGCAAACATGCATGACAAATTCTACAACATCACAACACCTAATTAACTTGACAAACTGTCTATGAACTCCTCATCAGATTCAAGAGAAGCCATAAACTCAGATAAAAGGCAAACTTCCAAATCCATACTACCATCACCTTCAATTCCTTGATACAAAGACACTTTCCCATCAAACTTATTTGCATATCCACTTCTCAATGCCACGCCTTTTCCCAATCCAAATTCATTTCCATACATATCAAATCTTGGTGAACTCCCCATCATAATACTACAAGGATCAAAAAATCCCATCTGATAAACCATACCAGATTCCAGTTTCTCAACCCATTCACGAATTTCCTTATTGTTATGATTAATCACAGCTTGATGCAATTTCCAAGCTGCCCAGCCAAGGTTATGTTCAAGAACTTCACCAGCTGTGGCATTTCCTCGAACAGTTTGAATACAATTACCAAAATATTCTTGTGGCAATGGAGGATCTAATCTTGCTCTGTTATTTATAGCCATTCTGCAACTTGTCATTTGATCAGATGGAAATTTTCTAACTTTAGTTATGCACCTCCACATATGAGCTGACAAAGCTTGTAAAGTTGAAATCTTGGTTGTATTACACTCTATATTTGCTTTTGCTTTGAGTTTTTTCAAAGACTCTGCTGAAAAATGGAAAAATCTTTCCCTCATATTTGGAGCTTCATGTCTACTAGTGAATTGATTATGGTGAGTGTAAGGAAGATTAATAATTGGACCATGTCCTTTTGGAAACCAATGGTTATGAATAGGTTGAATGTTCTGTTTCTGTCCATTATTATTGGCTTTGACAATTTCAGAAAAAGAGTTAAAGAAAAGCCAAAAAGAAGAACCATCAGCTAATACATGATTAATTGAGCAACCTATAAAAACCCCATCAATTAATTCTGTAACTTGAATAGTTAACAAAGATAATTCATGCCCATCATGATTAATTGCTTTATCATGATCAAAAAATGATTGAACTACTAAAGGAACATCTTTTGGTGAAAGAATATCATTAATAGTTAAACCAAGATTAGCATGAATAAACCTTGCACCTGGGGTATTAACACAGTCAATAAAGACAGTGTAAAGAGGGGGATTTTCTTGTTTAAGTGTAGAAAGACGACCAGCTAAAGGGTAAAATTGGACAAGGGTAAGTGAGAGTGATTCTTTAAGTTTTTGCAAAAAAAGATTAAGATTAAAAGATGAAGGTTTAGTGAAAAGCAGACCTTTTTGGATGTAATGAACAGAGAGCATAGCTAAATCCCATGATGATAAATACACAGGTTTTTTGGATTCCTCGGATTCGTAAAGTGGTTTGATGTAACACTCTGAGATGTGTTGAACAATAGGTGAAGAAGAAGAAGACGACATTTTTGTGTTTGTTCTTCTTATTTTTTCTGTATGAAGATTGGGGTTTTTATAGAGAATTTGATGTTGTCTTACCTACACACTTAGGCCCCGTTTGACCATAAATTTTGGCACCGTTTTTTCAATTATTTTTTGAAAACATTGTTTGTTCATAGATTAATGACCTATTTTTGAAAAATTTCTGAAATTATTTTTCAAATTCCCAAAATCTAGTTTTGGATAGATTTTGGGTGAAACTTGTTCTCCCACTCACAAAACTTCAAATTTTTTTAAAATAAAATGCATGTCCAAACATAATTTCAACTTCCAAAAATTATTTTTCAAAACTACTTCAAAAATTATTTTTTCAAGTTTCAACTAAATCTATGTCCAAACGCTAGCTTACCAACCTGTTAAAATTTTGGAGCTTGGTTTAGAGGGGTTTCTAGGAAAGTCTATATTTTTTTTTTTAGATAAAAATAGTAGTTTAAAATAAGTATACATAATAGTTGGTGACATCTAATATTTGCATAGATTATCTTGACGAATCGCTTGATTGTCAAAACCAAGATATGGTCAAGAGCCATTTGCAATAGTGAACAAATAAATAAGAGCCCGTTTGGCCAAGCTGCCAAAATGTGTTTATTTTGAAAAGTACTTTTTTTTAAAGTATTTTTAAAAAAAACTGTTTGTGTTTGGCCAATTCATTTAAGAAGTACTTTTTGCAACATTTGGTAAATAATTTGTGTTTAGCCAATCATTTCAAAAAATGCTTTTGAGTGTCAAATCACCAAAAAGGATAGTACCAAGGTCGTATAATTCTTTTAAATATAAAAATGAACTTAAATATTTATCGCAGAGACTTTTATTATTTTTTTATTTTATTTAATTAAAATATAAAACACAAAGTAAACAAACATATTAAAGATTTAAATCAATTTTACATATATAGTTATACTAAAGTATATGATATTATCCAGTATAATTACTTATTTTTATATGATGATTTGAATAATTAAAATAACATCATTCAGTATAAATTAGAAGTCTATCCACAAATTACTATATATTGATAATCCATCATGAAATAATAAGTAAAGTCACTCACACATGATAATACTTCTCAAAAATTTCATCCTTACTTCTATCACACAACGCTTCCATATTAGTAGAAGACTTGCCTCGCATTTCTAAAGGAATATCAGAAGGCTGATCTCCTTCATCAATCTCTGCAGTAATGTCTTCATTAGCATAATAGTTGAATTCTGTATGGGTAAAAGAATGTTATCGGATGAAATTATATATAGCCATGGTAGTTGTAACTAGATGATTGTGAGTGTCAAACTTGAAAGATGGCATTGAGCGTAAAATAAAAATAATTTTAAATATATAAAAAACTCGAAATAGTTAAGTGTGTTTAAATTCTTATACAAAAAGAGTAACTAATTATTAATAGCACATAATGTATAATTTATTTATTTTAAAAAAAAAATTTAAATTCAAAAAGAAACTAATTATTACCTAACCTTACTAACTTTGTCCTAAAATGCCAAGTGGCATATTGTGAGGCTGCCAATTGACTAAATATAGATGCATTTTCTTCTTCTTTTAATAATATATAGATAGATTATGCAATTAAAAATTTATTACCTATTTGTAGGTCATTTTCACAAATCAAGTTTGATAACTGTTTTAAAGATTCGGAAACTAATAGCATATAACAGAAGAAATTATAAATAATTATTTGTAGGAAGAGAATTGATAATCCAAAGAAGATGCAGATAATTTGCTTTAGTGTGAAAAAAGAAGAAGATAATTTGAAAAGTTACAAGACATCACACAAAAAAAAAGATCAAAAACAAGAAAATTCAATAAATTTTTTGAAAAGTTACAATATGATTCATATATATGATATCTTTAATTTTAATGGGATGGTAAAAATTAGAAACAAAAATGAAAAGAAAAAACTTAGATTAGTAAGGGATAATTTGGAAAATATAAATTTATGGTGAGGATAGTTTTGTCTTGAATAAATTAATTTTCTACTTCTGCTTCTGCTTCTTGGAAGAAGCTAGAATTTTCTGCTTCTTCCCAAAAGCAGAAAAAACTGCTTCTGCTGCTGGCAAAAAGTACTTTTCTGTATTGGCTAAACAACTCAAATTTTTTAAAAAGTACTTTTTGGGGAAAAAAAGTACTTTTGGCCTCCCAGAAGCTTGACCAAACAGGATCTAAATGAGTTTGAATACTTAGGTTCTCTTATATACATGGTGTCACGACCTCAACCCCGGTCGTGATGGCGCCCAGCACATTGCTAGGCAAGCCCGACCAATTATCAATCACAACCCTTCGCTTATAGAGTTCATTTCCAACTAACAGAGTTTTAAATACTGATTAACATGAATAGAAGTCTGAAGCAGTAAATGAGATGTGCGGAAAACATAACAATATCTCTACAATAGCCCCACCGATCCGGTGTCGCAAGTCAAGAGCCTCTATCACAAGATTTCAACAGCCTAATACAAAGATAGTCTAGGATACTGCAAAGTAAAAGATAGAGGGAGAAATCGGATCTGCGGACGCCATGCAGCTACCTCGATGACTCCGGTGGATGGTAATCAGCAAGAAAAACTCCCACTATGCCTCGGGAACACCTGAATCTGCACGCAAGGTGCAGGGAGTAATGTGAGTACTCCGACCCAGTGAGTAATAATCATAAATAATGGCTGACAGTAAGAAATCACGTAAAGGCACTAAGTAGTTCTATATCAAGCAGTAAATCAACTCAAAGCAGCAAAAATAGTGAATAAGTCCAGTGAAGTATCTTCAGATCAGGTAAGAACAGGTGATTTATCAGATATTTAACAAGTATAATTCCGTTCCTCGTACACAGTACCCAAATATCTCTCACAATAACCAAAATCAAAATAACCGCTGCGGCGTGCAGCCCGATCCGTACATTGCTGTGGCGCACAACCCGATCCATATAATTAGTTGACTGCGCTCACTGGGGTGTGCAGACTACGGGAGGGGCTCCTACAGCCCAAACGCTATATTGCTGTGGCGCGTAGCCCGATCCACATAAACATTTGCTGCGGCGTGCAGTCCGATCCATATAAATATTTGCTGCGGCGTGCAGCCCGATCCATAATATATATAATATCCTCATTGTTGGGTTCTCAACCCCTCTCAGTCATTTTACTCACAGCCTCTCGGGCACATTAATATAAGGTAGGGATCTCAGCCCACATATTTCCCTCATTTAGGATTAGCATTGATATAACCGGTCCACATTGTTTAAACAAATAGAAAACATGATTGAGGATGTGATTTTTAATAAGTAAAGTGAGAAAAATCAGTCATAATGCCCCTAAGGGTTCTACAAGTTGGCACAAGGCTCCAAACATGACAGCTAGCCCAAATCATAATGATAATAATTAAATCTCAGTCAAAAATACGGTGAAATCATCAATCGGGATGGACCAAGTCAAATCCCCAGTAGTAATGGACCCCACGCTCATCATACAGCGTGTGTCTCACCTCAACATAGCACTACGTTGTGCAAATTCGGGGTTTCAAACCCTCAGGACACCATTTACAATCATTACTCACCTCAACGCGGACAAAGCTCTAGCTCGCTATGCCCTTGCCTCTCAAATCGGCCTCCTCGCGCGTCGAATCTGACCAAAACCACAACGAGTACGTCACAATAGGCTAAGGGAACAAAACCCAAGCGAAAACAATCGAAAAATATCAAAAATCCCGAAATTAGCAAAACCTGAGCCCCGAGCCCACTTCTCGAAACTCAGAAATTTTCACACCAACGGGTTTCTTATCTCGCCACGAGTCTATGCATATAAAGAACACCAAAATCGGAGTCCAAATGACCCCTCAAATCCTAATTTAAAATCTCAAAATCCCAAGCCCTAGTTCTTCCATTTTTGGCTAAATTTCCATGAATTTCTAGGTTGATTCCACAATAAAATCACGTTTTTGGTTCATAAAACTTACCTCCAATCGATCCTCTTCAATTTCTCCCAAAGAGCTCTCAAAATGTTCAACAATGGTGGAAAAATGACTTAGGCTCGCGGATGAAATGTTTTCAAACCTTCTGCCCAGCTACAGTAATTCCTCCTATGCGATCGCGGCCCAAGGCTCGCGATTGCGATGAACAAATTTTTCTAGCCCTCAAAATGCACTATGCGATTGCAATAGACCCCCTGCGAAAGCGATACTGCCTCCTCCAACACTCTGCGATCGCACACACATTCACGCGATCGCGAAGGCACACCTTACAAGCCTATGCGATCGCAATCGTCTATACGCGATCGCGTAGAACAAAAATCATGCTGCCCCGAATTCCTTCTATGCGATCGCGAGGGTCCTCCCGCGATCGCGAAGACCAAAAATACTCTGCAATAACTGCTGCATTTTCTGCATTTTCTCCAAGTCCAAAACTCCCCGTTAGCCATCCTAAATCACCTCGAGGCCCCCGGGACCTCAACCAAAAGCACCAACGCATCCTAAAACATCATTCAAACTTTCTCCAATCATCAAAACACCTCGAATAACACCAAAACCATCAAATTACATCGAATTCAAGCCTGAGTTTTTCTAAAACTTCCGAAACACGCATTTGATCAAAAATCCAACCAAATCACCTCCGAATGACCTGAAATTTTACACACACATCCAAAATCACATAACGAAGCTACATCAACTCTCGAAATTCCATTCCGACCCTCGGATCAAAATCTCACCTATCAACCGGAAATCGCCAAAATACTAACTTCGCCAATTCAAGCCTAATTCTGCACCGGACCTCCAAAACCACTTCCGATCACACTCCTAAGTCACAAATCATCCTCCGAAGCTAACCGAACCATCGAAAATCATATCCGAGCCCTCTAACACATAAGTCAACATCCGGTTGACTTTTCCAAACTAAGCCTTCCTTAAAGAGACTAAGTGTCTCATTTCCTACAAAAACCACTCCAAACCAACTTGAGCACATAAGACACGGATAACAAAGCATAAAGAAGCTGAAATGGGGGAAA